TATCACTTCATTTATGGTATAATTTCCCAGTTAATAAGAAAAAGCTAGGCACCTACATTTTTATAACCAGCACAGTCACTGGTAAATGTTACCACATACCTTTCTAAAACATCACAACACTGTAATGAATAAGCTGTGCCTCGTGCATAGAGAGAGGATCAACATAGGTGGTCTTCATAGTTAACATATTTTGTGTGTGGTGTCTCATTAGAAGAGGATGTTATCTTGATTAGTATGAATTGCCAAGAATTCTAACACATCATGTCCTGAAAAATACATATTTTCTTCATATGTTCTTAATGAACTAGTTAGTTCACATGTAAATATCAAAAATCAAGTGTCCAAATTTCAGGATACATTGATTCAGAGAGGAGTTCACCTGAAATTGGAAATTTCATAGATGTCTGGACAGAAATTTATGGAGTGGTTCTTTTCCCTCGGCTCCAAAGTGAAACAAATGCATCTGATCATTTTCTGTGTTGTTTCTCTTATCTTCAAAAAAGTATTCAAGTTCAGTGTGATGTGATCTTTTCACAGTGTAAATAAAGGCAGTGCATTGAATAATTTTGACTTATTATAAACCCAATACAGCATTCAGAACACAATCAGATATCTAACTACACAATTCCAGTTGCATTCATATTTCAAGCATTCAACTTGATTCTGCATTTGCTATTCATAAGATCCAAGGCTACTGGAAGTTATTCAGATATAGAAGCAATCCTGATGACTGGGTCGCTGCATCTGGACAAACTGTAATCACGCTTTGTAATCTCACAGCGGGAAATGTGAAATTACTGGCATTATATAAAAAGACCATCACAACGGAAATTGGTTTGCATATATGCAGGGTTGTTGTGAATTCTTTGAAGTGTGGCACAAAAACAAAAGTGTAACTATTTACAGATCTACACCTGCAGATGCAGTTAATTGCAAACCTTTAATGCCTTTTCTCAACATTCTGTATCCGTGCTCTGTTGTGGAAGAAGAGCACTTGTAACTGCACCTCTCCTTTTTTTTTTTTAAACAAATTGATAGTGTTAGAGATTGGGAAGATACTTTTAATCATCAAAGCCCTGAAGAAATCATATAAAGTCACATATTGAATGTTACATCTGAGATTCCTTTCACTGCCTCTCTACATACCAAAGTCTTGCAATTACAAATCCTATAAAAGTTATTATCCATATGAAATTAGCAATGAGAGAGAAAAAAGTGCACTTGATGATGAGGAGGATGTGGGAAATTTTCATTGTGATAACCTGGTTGGTGTGATAATAAATTGTTACAACCTTTTAAGATAGAATAATATAATTACACTATTAAATCACTCAGTAATTCTAGAAATTACTCCATCAATATTTATAGTATTCATAAACTAGAAGTAACCAAATGTTTCAATACGTAATTTTATTTAAACAAAAATAACCATTTAAATTTATGATTTTGAAGAATATTCTATAATATGGAAAAACACTCATCATAGAGGCAGTGAAAAAGCAGATCAAAAATCTTTGCATACTATATCATCTATAGATATATATGAAGGACTCTAAAATGAGATATAAGCAAAAAGAAGTATCTCAGAGGTGTGGTATTATGTTACTTTTTGTTAGTTTTTCTCTCATTTAATGAGCCTATATTACCTTGATAATCAGAAAAGCAGATACTTTTGAACACATTAATAACATTTTTTATAAAATAGGTTTTATCCATAATCTATGGTTAATTACTCTATATACATCTTTGGTTTTCCTATTTTTATTGTACTAAAAACATTTCTGGTAGCCATATTCCTTTGCTCGGTAAACAGTTTATTTGAAACAATTCCCCCAAGATACTAAATGATTATCTATGAGCCTTTTTTTAGTAATAGGCGATTTTTTAAAATAATACACATTTGCTGTATTTTATTTCCTTATTTAATATCCATTTCCCCCAAATTTCTTACACAGATACTTCTAGGTAAAAATTTGCACATCATTGTTAGAATTTTCTTGGGAACAGTTATAGTCAAGGTCTACCCCGCTGAAGCTGCTCTTAAACATCATTAGCATTCTACCGTCATCGTTCTATTAAGTAATTCTTTCTTCTAACATGCCTAACAGTGGATATTTCCCTCATTTATGAATATTCTTCCAATGTTCAGGGTCAGCCTGTTATGACCACGGAGCCCTGGGCCTGTTTTACAACAGCTCGGTAGCTTTTGCTTCTGCTTGTTGGCTTATGTAAATGGTTGTTAAAAAAAAAAAAAAGGGGGAGGGAATCAGTGACACAGATTGTATGGGTCCTGAAAAGCCTGAAGTATTTACTATCGTGGTTTATACAAGAAGAGTTGATTGAATCTTGAACTGGAGGTTTAAATGTAGTGCTTCATATATAGCATTATATGAAAAGACCATCACAACGGAAATTGGTTTGCATATATGCAGTGTTGTGAATTCTTTGAAGTGTGGCCCTTACTCTTGTGATAGTGTCTGTAAATTTCATATGTAAATCAGCATATTTTTGTATTCATGTTTTAATATCATACCTGAATTTGGATAAGGGTATAAAGGTTCTTTTTTTAAAAGATTTATTTATTTATTTGTACATACAAGCACTGGGTACAGTCAGAAGCACGGGAGGGTGAGAGAATTCACCAGACCCAGAGCGGGGAGCAGAGCAGGCAGAAGGACCGAAATACACTGCTGAGGGGAACAGCGGGCGGCAGGAGGGGTCTGCGCGCCATGTGGGACCCTCCTCTGGTGGCCGTGGCCGGGGAGCAGCTGGGATCGAACTGGCGCTGCAGAGGCTGTGGGCAGCTTCGCAACCCAGCGCTCAACCACTGCGCCACCGGGGAGGCCCAAGGGTATAAAGGTTCTTATCCTTTATGAATAGTACAGATGTCTTGATGCATGTAATGAAAAAAATTCCTATGTAAACATTTTTTATCGCTTCTTTATGTAACCTTTAGAATTATTAAGTATAATTTCGTAAATAATGAAAATGTGCTCAGTGTTTTGATTTTTTTTAAGGTGAGAATGGAGAAAAGCATAGAAGCTAAGTTATTCATATGCTGCTCTTTTTGATCATATATGTCAAAAAGCATAAAGACTCTAAACTCATTTATTCATTGCATTGTAAAATACACATTTAGTCATTAAAAATGTCTTCTCAACCCAATTAGAGTGCCACCATTTTGTCAATATTTAGTATTATTTGACTATATAATACACAGAAATATTCATTACTCTGCTGGACTTTGTACTGAAACTCAGCTTTGCAGAGTTTTGAAATGAACATGAATTCAACACCTCATGGACTTCTTTGGTTTTTTAAATTTACCTATTTATTTTTAGTTGAGGTAATATTAGGATGTCCCTATAAACTATCACCACCTCAGTGCATCTACTGCTAAATCATCCATAACTACCACCATAATCTAATGTGCTCCCTTCCCTCTTTGTTCTAAGCCTCCCCCTATCCCTCCCAGATTTGGATGCTTCACTTCTGTAGTCCGCTTTCCCCAGGGACTCCTAACCTGGCAGTTTGTTTTCATCTCTTTGAATTCAGTGTCCTCATTAGCACATGAGTATCGAAAAAATATCCTGATCATAAGGCCATGGAGACCTATGAGATCATCCAGTAATGGCTGATCTAGTTTCCAACATATAGTGATAGTTTATGGTTTGATTTTGTTTGTTTGTTTTTTTAGGTTTTATTTATTTTTGCATAGAAGAACTGGGATATAGGCCAGAGATGGAGTGGGGGAGTGAGAGGATTCACCAGAGACAGTGGGGAACACAGCAGGCAGATTTTCTGAAAACACACTGCTAAGTGGAACAGCCGATGAGACAGACGAGGTCTGCTGTGCCATATGTGGGTTAGCTCCCTGGCCAGGGATTGAACTCAGGCCATTGAACTGCAATGACAGTGCTGAGACTTAATCCCAAGGCCACCAGGGAGGCCCAGTTTATTGTATGAAACTGATAAGCACCTACATAAATATGTGTATTCATTGTATGTGTATTCACTCTGCTACAGAGTGATAGGTGAGTTTCTTTATGACTCTGGGCTCAGTTAATGCATATATAAAGTGGAGGTGGTAGTGGTTCTATAGTGTGCTACAATCACATGCTTGTAAAGTGCTCAGACTAATTTCTGGCACATAAATGCTCAGTAATATTTGACCAGTAGCTTTCATCATTTTAGTTGTCCTATAGTTTTATCCTATAGGACATACATGTATACATATCCTATATGTGTATAACATTTGTAACTTCAGATGTTTATAAAAGTATCAAAATATAAGCGTGTATATTTGGAGAATATAAAAATTATTGTTAAAAAATATGGGAGAGGGACACAGATGGGATAGGGGTACTGAAGGTTTGGGGGAAAGAAAAAATAAAAATATTAAGATTTAAAAATATTACTCTGGCTTGAGGTACAACCTGAGCTAAGAGAACTTGGGTCTTTATGATGTCATGATGTCTTCATTTGGAACAGACTATGTATGACAACACAGTGATATTTAAGTAGCTGAGCATCTGGAACAGTTTCAGAACTTCTGATATCCAATATGGAAGCAAAACTGTTGAACCTATTATTATCACAGTAAATAATTCCCCTACCCCTTTTCACATGTCAGAAACTCCATTCTTGCCCATAAAAGCTACTCTGCTTCCTCAGCACTATGGAAACAGCAATCTCAGTAGAAGAGTACTCTACCCCAGCGAACCAGGGATGTTTGGAACTACAAACCAAACAACTCTTGAATGTATGTCCATGTGGGCATGCACACAAAGACAGGCAGATGTGTAGGGTATGGATAGGTGACAGAGACAGCAATCCAACTAGATTGATCTAATTAAGTCATGTCCACAGTCACTTCTGAGCTTTCTGATGAAATCAGAGATGAAAATTAGTGATTGAATTTTCAATTTATCATAAGCTTGCACACACTATCTTGTAAGAAAAATTAAAAAATTGAATTGAATGTTAATCTTTGCTTTCAGGGAATATGGAGCCATTGATGATGTAGATATTGATCTGCATATTGATGTTAGCTTTCTTGATGTAAGTATCTGCAAGAAGATTTTAAAACACTTCTTGGAAGAAATTTAATTTTCATTTCTGTTATCGGTACTATTAGTAATGCATTGTCTTTGGTAGTGATTTATCAAAATAAAGAAATGCTGACTGGTTGAAGAAGTAGAGGTTTTATACATATATATAGTATGTATATATATTTTTATATGGACTCAATTGTACTTCATTATTTCTTAAGTTTTCACTTTAATTTTTATATATGAAAGGCAAAAACTATGAATAGTTAGGCTTTCTTTTCACAAACCAGTATGTTTTGAGGTAATTTGTAGGCCTTAATGATTTATATATTTCTCAAAGTAGCTATTTTTATTTTTCATTTTGGGAAAAATTAAGAATTCTGAAAGATGACTAATTCATCTTTTAAATATACTTGCACAGGAGGAGATTGCTGTGGCTTGGGAAGTGATTCGAACAGAACCTATAATTGTCCGACTACACTGTTCACTCACACAGTATTTAAATGGCCCAGGTTAGTTTTATTTCTCTATTATTTTGAGTGTTAATTAGTTATGCATTGTGCATTAAGCAAAATGAATGTTTATTTTGTAATACTGAGCATATGCAGATATCTTAATAATGATACTAAAATATGTTTGCCTCCTAACAAAGACGGTTCATTGCCAATGTAACTCAAAGAAACAAACATCTGATGTATATGTAGTTGTATAAATTTCAGAAGTTGACAGGTTGCTGTGAAACAAACAGAATAAAACCTAAAAGAGAACTTTGCTTTAGTAGAAGATCAGTAAGTATATTTTGGACTGCCTATAGATTTATTTATGTCTCTGATTAAGAGATTTAATTTTAATATTTATTTATTGTACCTTTGGATTAATAGTGGATTTCACCTAAATGTAACATATGTCTGTTTTTGAAATTGAAAATTATATTTTGTTTTGCAATACTCTAAGCTATAATGTAGTATCTCAATTGGTAGGTGTTTGTACCTGAGCCTATTTTAAATCTTGTGAAAACTGGGTTCAAATGTTTTCTTCTGTTTACTAACACGTGTGTTAGTAATAATCTGCCTTGGGGTCCTCATCTTTCATAAAATGAGGAGTTTTTTGTTTTGTTCTGTTTTTTAAGATTTATTTATTTATTTATTTATTTATTTATTTATTTATTTATTTATACAAGCACTGGGTTCAGGCAGAAGCGTGGGAGGGTGAGAGAATTCACCAGAGCCAGAGCAGGGACCAGAACAGGCAGAAGGATCAAGGTACACTGCTGAGGGGAGCAACGGGCAGCAGGAGAGTTTTGCGAGCCATGTGGGACCCTCACCCAGTGGCTGGGCTGGGAATCAGTGGCTGGAATGGTGCTGCAGAGACTGCAGGCAACTTCACAGCCCAGTGTTCAACCGCTGCGCCACTGGGGAAGCCCTAAAATGAGGAGTTTTGAGTCAGCCTTTTAGGGTCCTTAAAGGCTGGTTCTGTCTACTCTGTTTGTAGCAAAATGCACTGGAAGTTTCTCCAAGTATATAGTCCTTTTACTGGTTTCTTCTGTTCTATAATGCAAGGTTTATATTCAGGCTTGTTCAAGAGCATTTACTAACGGTACCATCATGGTAGCAAACTTCCTGAAGGGTTACTTTTTTGTTAGAGAAATTTTGAGGAAAAATGTGACTTAAAATGAGCGGTGATTCATGGACTATGTATGGTGGTCTCTGGGTGGCGTGCTGATGGGTGTGGTGTGGTAACCTACACCTGAAGAGGTATGAACCATGCACAACATTGTAAACCAGTATCACCTCAATTAAAAAAAAAAAGAAATAAGAAATAAATAAAATAGAAAATAAATTTAAAAAAAAGAAAGCAACAACAGTAAATAAAATAGGTTTGAAATTGGTGGCTAGAATTAGAGCTAATACATCTAAAAAGGAAAAAAAATAATTTAACCTTCTAGAGGAGATAATTAGGTTTTATCCTAGTGTATGATTTGGATGATTGCAAGCAAATAAAAAGGTGAGAAAATATTTCTTAAAGACTGTTTTGCAATCAACATTTATAGTAAAGTGAACTTGCAAAAAATATATGACTAATTCATAGTTTAGAATGACCTAGTTAACAGTTTTTTTTGAGAAAGCATTTATTCCTAGGTTTTGGAAATGTATAAATAACACTTGCTTGAACTGTGATACTTAGCAAGGGCTAATCTGACTATATGTCTTCGAGTGAACAGTAATGATAAGATAAAGCACTTTGAAATTAAAGGTAAGGTCATTTTCATTGTACATGGGGAAATAGACTTTAAATAAAGATACACAATTCTTACGATCCTTATGACTATATATATATATATATATTCAGAATTGCGGGTATCTAGGTCTAGTTTCTGATCCCAAGAATGATTTTAGTTTAAAATAATTAAGATTTAAAAAGTTGTTTTCCTGTGAAACTCATATTAATATCTCTACATTTATATGATCAGAGTGTTAGAATAACTTCTACATATCTGGATAAGCCCTAATTTATTGCTTTCCCAACCTAAGTTATATGACAGACAAGGAAAAGTTAAATAACTTTCACCTTTCTGAAAATACTTCACTAGTCTATTCTGTCAAGTTCTTCCTGCTCTCTTGCCCCCAAAAATAAACTCTGGGAAATATGATCATTTGAGGTAAACATTTAAATAAATTCAGAAAGAAGAATAGACATTTCTATAATAGTTTCTATAATAATTTCTCTTTTTAAAAAAGGTTAAATTATTTATGCATAAAAGAGCTGGGGTGTAGGCTAGAGATGGTGGGAGGGTGGTCGTGGTATGGTGAGAGGATTCACCAGAGACAGAGTGAGGAGCAGAACAGGCAGACTGACTGAAATACACTGCTGAGGGGAGCAGCAGGCGAGACAGGAGAGGTCTGCTGCACCTTGTGGGTTAGTTGCCTGCCAGGGGTCAAACTCACACTGCAGTGGCTGGCTATAGCTTCATAGAGCTGAGACTTAACTCCTTGTGCCACCAGGGAAGCCATGCCGGGATTTGGTTGCAACCCTAAGTGCTCTTTGGGAAGGGACTGAGATGAAGGAAGTGAAGGCTGAGCCTAAGGGAGGGGAGGAGAATCTTCTCCTCTTCCCTCTATAAAGGAGTATTTACTGGCAGTTTCTAGTTTTATATATCAGTGCAGTTCTGTGTTTTTTGATTTTCTGCCTTAGGGCTCTAATTTCAGCTAAATTCATTCCTATTTGTTTATTGCCTGTTTGCTTTTATATATTTTATTTTATAAAATAAAATTTTATTTTCATTTTATATTTCAGTTTATTTTATATTTAAATTTATATTTTATATTTAAATTTATTTTCTGATTATTGGTTATCGGAAAGCCACTAACTTTTAAAAAATTAAAAATGTATAGATTTACAGAAAAATTTACAGAGATAATAATACAGAATACCCCTACATTCCATCCCAATTCGATTAACATATAAATACATTAAATAAAATTAATTATAAGAATTAATTTTATTAATTTTAATAAAATCTGTGTTTTTGTCACTTGGTTTTGAAATATTTTTGGAAGTAACATCTTGTTAGCTCTTTCAGCATATTCCAAAATTTTGTTTTTTCAGATTTTAATGTCAGTCCTAGAGACATATTTGTAACATATTTTCCAGGAAAATGTATCATTTTGATAAAATATTGACACATTCTAATTATTGATAGTGTAAATTTGGTATTATTAACTTAATGGTATTAATTTATATATTTTCAGTAAACATTTATATCTTATATTATTTCCTGCACTGAAGATTTAGGTTTTTCTGGTGCATTTTGGATTTTTCTACATTTTTTTTTTTCTTTTTAAGCCTCATCCCTTTTGTTTCTCTGCCTCCATTTTTTCTTATCTTTGGTGAAGAAACTCTTCATTAGTCTTTCCAGAGACATTGTGTGTTCTAATTTAGTCTTTTCTTTAAAAGATAATTTCACAGAGTTTTCAAGATCTTAGGAGTTTTCATCAGTTTTTCAGTTTCTGTAACCTTTGGTTTGGGACAAATGGCATCGAAGTGATGTGCACTTTCCCCACTATGTGTAAGGATTGGAATAGTTTCAGAAAAGGAATTGACTTATCGGTGATATCAGCAAAAGTTTTCTTTGCTCACAGGACACACGAGCATGAGGCAACTGGGGATATAAACCTGTTGTAGAGTATGGTTTATGTGTGGTCTGTCGCTGTCCTGTTAGCAAAACACTCTTTGCTCTAATTATCTGTCATCTGACTGTTGCTGTGAATGGTGCGGTCTGTGTTCCTGTCTAACGTCATCCTAACTGCCATCCCCTTTCACTTCATTAAGGCACCTGTACTATTCATGTCTCTCTCTTCTAGAGACATCAGTCAACAAATATTTCTCTCATCTTTCAAACAAACCCCTGGTGACCCAGATTGCTCTTTAATTAGTACTCTAATACTCTGTGTCTATGGACTATTAATTGTCTTCCTTAGCATTTTCTCTATTAGCTTACTTCATTTTCTTCCCTCTTTATTCTTCTTGAGATTTGGGACTCAGCATTTCACAGATGCTGCTCTTGTTATTGTCACCCATGACTTCACTGTTGCCTAGTGACCCCACAACTTACATGACCAGTGTTGAATCCTCATCTTCATTGACTCAGCAGCATTTGCTAACAGTTGTTTACCCTCCCTTGAAAATCTTGTGAATGTGTGTGCAGATCAGCATTCTGGAATCATTCACCCTCCTCACAATTCCTCTTTATGGAGCCTTCTTTGCTGACCACTGGTTGCTGGAGGTCTTAAGGCCTTATCACTAGACTTCTCTCCTTCATCCACATCCACTCAGTGCTTCTCATTTGATGTCATGTCTTTAAAGATATAGCTATTTGGGCTGTCTTAAATTTATATCTTTAGCACATGCTCTCCTGTGAAGGCCTAAAAGCTAGATTTCTCTATCCAGTTGTCCCTTTAACTTTTCCTCTTGTGATAGGTAAGTATCTCAAAGTTGAGTTATCCAAAGTCAAGTTGCTGATCATCCTTACCTCCCCAAAAATGTTCCCCCTGTAGCCTGTCACATATCAGGAGCATTAAGTCCCATCCTGCTTGTTCAGACCCAAGTCCTTAGAGTCAGCCTTGCTGCCTTTATTTTTGATACTTGAAGTCTAGCGCAGCAATGAAATCTCCCAGAAAGTATGAGTCCAAAATGCTCTTCACTTTTACTGGCCCAACCTACTGTATCTCTTCCTCAATCCCTATAAAAAGTTCCTGACTCATTTTCCTACTTCTGCCCCTGCTCTTTCCACAGACTTCTGTGCTCCCCACAGTTCTCTGAGCTCATCTCCTAACATGATCTCATCTCCTGTTGTCTTCAACTCCACTGGTCTCCTCTTGTTCCTAGAATATTGAAATCCATTTCTTCCTCAAGAGTGCTGATCTTGTTTTCCCTCTGACTAGGACACTTTCCTGCCTGCCTTTCTTCAATCTAATACTGAAACCTGTGTCTGTATAACGGTGCCCTGCCCCTCCATTTCCCAGGAAACTTTATCACCATGTGGCATTCTGTCTCTTATCTTACTTGTTTTTCGTCTGTCTCCTCCCACTAGAGTCAGGCTTCATGGTGGTAGGGTTATTGGTGTGTGTTTTTTATTAACGGTGGGCACTTACTAAATTCCCTTTAAATCTGTGAATAATGATAATCAATTGACTTGGAGAGATTATTAATTTCATAAATATCATAGTTATTAATTGAAGAAAATGTATATGCTTGGTAAAAATGTGAAGCATATGACAGGATATGCAGTGTACAGTAAGTTACCTCTGCTTTACTTTATTCTCATCCCTCATTGTATTCTAAAAAAAAATAGGTAGTTATAAAAATGTTCTTCCATTTAAAAAATAGTATGCAAACTGCCCTTTAGATTTCCACTTATACTGAATATAAGTGGAAAGTCTTCATCATTGCACACATATGCATTTACATAATATATTGTACATTGTTATATAATATGTAGTGACCAAGAATGATCTCCAGAGTCTCTCTATGTAAAACATAAATACCCACGTGTAGCACTGTGCGTGTACGCTTTTTAAAATGTGTGTATATTATATATTATGTGATACATATTTTATAACTATCATATTTATAAAGCATATTACATAAATGCTATATACCTAGTAACATATATTACTTATTAGTCTTTTTTTACTGGGTGATGGTTGATTTTCAACATCTTCACTGACTTTTTTTTTCCCCCTGCAGTGCCCACAGTTGATGTCTTCCAGATTTCCACAAAAGAGCGATTTGGATTGGGACATCAGCTAAAAAAGTAAGTCTTCCAAAGAAGAAAAAGTAAATATCTATTAAAGAGAAGTGAATTCTCATTTTGCTTTTTTTACCCCTGCCATTTTTAGTAAGTGCTTTTTGAAGTGAGTGCGTCAGGAGAGGAATTTACTGTGATGCTAAGAGCTGCATTAGTAATTTTTGAGTTCACTTTTAGAACTGGATCCGTTCCTTCTACTTGCCCTGAGTCCACTCTCCTCCTTCCAACACACCTGGGGTGGCTGACTGTGTGGACAGTCTTCTGTGTGACTGTGGCACAGAGGAGGAAGTGGCAGAAGCAGGGTGTATACTGTCTTTAGCTCTTCACTGTCAATTGCCCTTGGGCTGAATAGTCCTGTTGTGCTCTTGCTTTGGCCTTTGCATGAATGGATTCTCTGGATGGTTTCCTCTGCTTTTTCTTTGGGGCTGGAGAGGGCAACAGTCAAGCAGCATTGGCTCTAGTTGCTATACTATATCTTGTTTCCACATTTTTACCTTTGAAACCTTCGTTTTATAAATAAACCCTTTATTTCCTGTTTGAACCCTGACAAATATAAGGATCAGTTAATCTTTGACAAACATAAAATTATGTCATTTAAACTGACTTTTCATACTTAGGGGGTGTACCTCAATTAGCCACAGTCAAATAATTACTTACCAAAATATCAGCTTGGAGAATTTGTATTTATAGAGAATTAGGAAGGTTATTTATTCTCCTGAATATGCATATTTTACTTCATTTAGATTTATCAAGAGAGATAATTGCATAATTATGTACACATGGTTTAGCCCTCCACAATGATGTAGTCAGCATGTTCACCTTTGTTGTAATTGGGCATCCTGCATTAGCCTTGTTCTAAGCATGACATTAGCTTAGTTCTAAGAGAACACACTGAAACTTTATTTCATTTACAAAATAGGGAGCTTGTGGTGGTCTTGCCTATAGTTATAAATGTAGCAGGAATCTTCACATGTGGCATCAAAGGTCTTACAGATCACCGAGCTCTGGAATTGTCCTACGTTTTTATGACTTGACATTGAAGCAGCCTTGCTCAAATGTGAGTTAGGTGTGGATCTCATTTGAAAGCAAACTTTCTGGCAGAGCCCCAGTGCTGGATGTAACATATTATACACACACACACACACACACACACAATAGATAACAAAATCTTAATCTCTTGAATCTTCTACCTCTAAAATGGTAATTAATATACAACCTATGCCTACCACTTTACATTATACAGTGTATTTTTTTCCAGCTGCTCAGTTTAACATATTTTGAGCCCTTATTAGCAGCAAGGTGCAATGCTAAATGATGGGCATACCAAAAAGGAGTGACTAACCAGGATCAGAATTGGACACAGAATGCCATATGCATTGAATAGTTTTTATCAACTATTTTTTTGTGATTTGTTATTTGCATATTTTGTGAAATGATCACCATAGTATGATTAATTTACATCCATCTCCATACAGTCACAATTTTATTTTAATTGAGGTAATATTAGGATCCCCCCCATCAGGTTTTGCCACCACAGTGCACCCACTAGAGTCCACCACCAGAGTCCATTGTGCTTCCTTCCCTGTTACTGTTCCCCTACCCCTTCCCCCTCTCTGGATGCTTCACTTCTATAATCACCAGCTTTCAAGGGTTGGTTTTCAAGCTTGTCTTTATACTGGGTGGTGTCACTAATATATGTAAGATAAGCATTTTTTTTACTGTGATGCAGAGTTTTAAGAATTACCCCCTTAACAACTTTCACACATACCCTACATTCACAATGCTGCACATTATATTCCCTTGACTTGTTTTTTTTTGTTTTTATTTAAAGATTTATTTATTTATTCATACAAGCACTGGGTACAGTCAGAAGCACGGGAGGGTGAGAGAATTCACCAGAGCCAGAGCAGGGAACAGAATAGGCAGACCAGACCAACGAAGTACACTGCTGAGGGGAGCAGCGGGCGTGGCAGGAGTGGTCTGCACGCCATGTGGGACCCTCGCCCGGCAGCCCGGGATCGAACTAGTGCTGCAGAGGCTGCTGGGGGCGGGGGGAGGTAGGGGCAGGCAGCTTGGAAGCCCCGGGCTCAACTGCTGCCCCACCAGGGGAGTCCCTTGACTTACTTGTTTTATAGCTGGAAGTTGATAACTTTTGGTCCCCTTTAGTCCTTTCTCCCACTTCTCCTCCCCAGCCCCACCTCTGGTCATCCCTAATCTGTTCTCTGTATCTATGAACTTAGTTTTTGTTGTTGCTATTATTAGAATTATTAGATTCTACATATTGGTGAAATCATAATGTATTTATCTTTCTTTTTGTGACTTATTTCACTTACCTTGATGTATTCAAGGTCTTTCATTGCTGTTGCAAATGAGAAGATTTCTTTGTTTTTTATGAATACATGATATTCCTGTGTGTCCTTCTGTGTGCGTGTGTGTGTGTGTGTGTGTGTGTGTGTTTGTAGGTGAGTGGTCTATGCCGAAGATAACATTTGCTGCCCTCATTATTTCTCCAGAATCAGTTTTGCATGGTTTGTTTTTACTTATGATTTTAGTTTTATTTTCTCAGTTTGATGAGGAAAAATATATAAGCAAAATTAAATAAAAGGAAATTGACTTGACTTGTATCAACTAGTTCCAAAAATGTTTTTAAAGTTGCTTCTGGCACCAACAAAGTAATTCAGATTTTTTTTGGCCAATTCAGCTAAAGTTGTTGATCCTAAAAGTTATCCTTATAAATCCTTAGTTTATGAATTCTGTCATTTAATATTATTACTTATATCATAATAATTCTTAATTACAACAGGTCAGACTTTTTTTAATGTTTTCCTACATAAGAAAGCATCTTCTAGATTAGCATCTCACTGATTACTATGCATTTTCTTTCCTTTGATGAGGAGTCCTGTACACAAGAAATGTAGAAATCTTGCACTAAATTGCCTTGGAGTGGTGATAATAGACTTACCTTTGAATTGACAGAATCATGCAGACATTTGTTACCCAGCAGTGGAAACAGAGCAAAGAAAAATCCAATTGCCTGCACAATAAGAAGCTGTCAGAGAAGAAAGTGAAGTCTCCCCTGCATTTATTTTCTACCTTGCGCAGGTAACAGATGGCTTCATCATCATCATCATCATCTGACCAGTGCCCAGCTTTGCTACCCCGCTGGTGTTCCGTTCAGGGAATTCTTTTCACAGTCTCGGCATGTTTATTTTCCTTATACATCCAAGAACGAACTGTGTTAGATGCATTCCATCAAAAACACAGGTGTTCCTTCTATGTTTAGAGTTCTTGTTTTCATAACATGGGTTAAATTTACTAAAGCTTTTCCTACCAAAATGAGTTCATGTAGGGATTGGTAGGGAAGACCTGATCATCTTTTCTTGCTTTTCAGGGAAAATATAATTCAGCCCCTGTGATCATTCTGCACACTCTCTTGATTTCCATTTTAGCAGCATAGGCGGTGTGAAAGTGAGGTGGTATTTCTAGAGGCATTGAGATGATTGAGCCTGACGCGTGTTCTCCATGGTCTGCCATACTCATGCTTCGCCCTGTACTAATTGTTGTTCAATTTTGAAGGTCGCCTAGTTATCCTCCTCCTGGTTGTGGTAAAAGCAAATCCAAACTGAAATCTGAGCAAGATGGGATCTCCAAAACACATAAGCTGCTGCGGAGGACTTGCTCCAGCACAGTCAAGGCCGATGATGTGTGTGCCACCAAGTCCCACAGGACCTTTGGTCGCTCCCTGTCCAGCGACCCCAGGACCGAGCAGGCTGTGACGGCAATAAAGTCGCACAAACTCTTGAACCGTCCCTGCCCTGCAGCTGTCAAGCAAGACGACTGCCTCTCTCTCAAGTCACATAAACTCTTGTCTCGGTCTTGTTCTGGAGATCCACGATGTGAGCACAACACCAACTTGAAGCCCCACAAACTGTTAAGCAGGTCTTACTCCAGTAATCTCCGAATGGAAGAATTATATGGACTGAAGAATCACAAGTTGCTCAGCAAGTCTTATTCCAGTGCCCCCAAGTCATCCAAAACAGAGCTTTTCAAGGAACCTTCTGTGGAGGGCAGGAGGCTCTCACTTACCTCAGGGCTTATTGGTATCTTAACACCATCTTCATCTTCATCTTCCCAGCCTGCTGTGCGTAAATATTTCCATCTTGAGTTCTTGATTGTTAACTAAGGTGCAGTAGAGGGTGTGAGTGTGTGTGTGTGTAAGATCCAGTGGGGGAAAGAATTTTTTTTTTTTTTAAACTTGCTGCTTTTCCTTTCTGGATATTGTCTTGTATTCCAGACATTTGTAGATGGTATTAGAATGTTCGTTTTGATTCTAAGAAAATAGGTGTAGATATTGACTTTCTGTCTGGTCCCAAATTCTTGTCATGGTGAATGCTACCCCAAGATGGAAGGAAGTTAATTAATTGATTTTCCAAAGCCTATCCTTTTAAGAAATCATAGAATTTTAATGTTTGAAGTCGTTTACCTCATCTTTAATTTTCTAGTGCAAGTAGTGGGAAATAAAGCTTATTTGATAACTAAATTAAGGATAATCTGCTTACTGTTTTATATATATGAGAAAAACTTTGCCCATGAACACCATTGCTAGGATTGAGAAGCAACATTTACAGCTGTGTCCTCAGAGCCTCCTTAAAGCTGATCTTATCAAACTTTATAAAACTGAAAACACTTTACCATGAAGCTTCTGGGGGGTCAGGTGGGACTGAGTGATATTTACTGGAAGTAAGTCTTAACAGAATTTACCTCTAGGGTGATTGCTATTGTAGCCACTTTAAAGACAAAGAAACAAGCCTACCTTTTGTATGTTATTTATGTAAAGGAATTGATTAAAAGTTTTATTTGCTTTATTGTGTGTGTGGGCAGGGTGTAGGTATGTATTGGTGGAGGGTCGTATTTAGCTCTTAACCTTTAATATGGACACAACTAGGAATAAATGAAATTGAGAAGTAAGATGCAGTTCTCTGAAAGCTTTGTTGGTCTTATATAGATTTATCTCTAAAATTATTACCATAAAATGCATTTGTGTTAAGAAAATGTATTTGAGTATATGGATAATTTTTTAGGTGGATAACCTTAAATCCCATTTCTTATCAGCACTAAGCATTACAGACATTTAAAATAATGTTGAAAGGTTACATAAGAGAAAGTGCCCCATAATTGCTTCACCTAAGAAAAAATAATTTCGGATAGTCTAAAAAGAAATGTCTTTACATCTCTTAAGGGTTAAGCCTAGTACAAGACTTCAGTATTATATCCCATTCACTAGCAATCATTCTGATTGTAAAACAAGATTAAAATACTCTAAATTAGGAAGTAGGAACATTTGATGATGAGTAATAGAGGAAATGAGTTTTTCTGATGATGTAAAGATATCCATCATTTTACTAGAAGATCATAAATTAAGAATGCTATTGAAAGATAGCAATAATAAAGAAATTCTAAAATCTTGATGTCACAATCAGTGAGTTAATTAACATTACAAGTGATCCTTTAAAAGATCTTATCTGTAATTCATTGTTGCAAAAAAAATATGTATTTTCCCAATGAAAAAATTTTCTTCTTTTACTTTGCTTTTTATAGCCAAATGGTGCCAAATGCATTCCAATACGAGACCGTGGCTTCCTAGTGCAGGTATGAACTGCCTTCCCCCATCGTTGCGATATTTTCAAACTTTTCCTGAGTTTGACTTATTTTGTTTTTCTGTGTTTTTCCTTTATTTTTTTACAGACTATTGAGTTTGCTGAACAGCGGATCCCTGTATTGAATGAATATTGTGTGGTTTGTGATGAACCACATGTGTTTCAAAATGGCCCCATGCTTAGAGTAAGTTCTCTTGGTGGATTGTCAATGTTGATTTAGAATATAAATGAAAAGAGTAAGATATAAAACAATTAAGTAAATAACTGCGTTTACAGTAAATACTCTGCACTGAGCAAATTATTTAATATACAAGTGGCATGGTTTTCCTAAAATGAATTACTATTTCAGGAGTTTGTGAAAGAGCAAGTAGTTTCATTTTTGGAAAACATTTCTTACTGTCCTTCTTACATACACCTATATATTATATATATGTCCACCTTTTTATATTTATCCATCTGCATCTGTAGAAATATGCACCCTAAAGTGTTTCTCCAGACTGTATAATTTTAAATGCTTACTGTAGAAAAGAGAAAGTAATCCTTATTTTATCTTGAAAAGGCACACAGTAGCATACGGATCATCAGAATAAAGATTTCCAAAAATGCCAGCTTACTAAAACATGCAGGGCATTATTGAGGGAGTACATGCATTTTGGGGGAAATTATCCAGTTTCAAAAGTCTTTCTTTGCAGTTTCTTTTATTAAGATTAAATTTATAAAACATACAATTTATAATTTTAATGTTATAATTCATTGGTTTTGAGTATATTCACAAAAATGCTGTGCAGCCGTTACCAGTAATTCCAGAAAATATCAATCACCTGAACAGAAACTCTGTAACTGTTACAGTCATCCCAAATTTTTCCTTCCTCTTTTCCCCTTTCAATCACTAATCCATTTGTCTGTCTCTGTGGGTTTATTTATTCAGAATATTTTACATAAATAGGATTATAAATTATGTGCCCTTTTGTTTGTGTCTTCTCTCACTCCTATCATTTCAAGGTTCATTCATCTAGCATGTGTCAGTAACAGTATTCTTCTTTATAGTGGAATAATACTCCATTATGCAGATACGTGATCTTTGCCCCCTCATCATTTCATTTTTGAATGGTTAAGACGTTTCTTAGCTCTATTTTATTTTGAGGAACAGCCAAACTTTTTGACAGTGGCTGCACCCATTTTATGTTCCCATTAGCAATGTATATAATGATCTCACTATATCCTTCACTTTACCATTACTTGTGGTTCCCATTTCTTTATCCCCCGAATTTAGGTACCCCTAGTGTGTGTGAAGTAGTATCTCATTGTGGTTTTAATCTGCAATTCCCTAATGACTAATGAGTTTGTGCTTATTGGAAATGTGTATATCTTCTCTGGGAAATATCTTTTCAAATCCATTGCCTGATTTTTAATAAGGTTATTTGTATTTTTTTTTATTTTTTAGTTTTTTAAATTTTATTTTGTATATATTTTACATCACATCATTATTGAGTTTTGCTTTCTCCTCTTAGGTGTAGTACCCATGAAATTCCCACCACCAATTCACCTGTGACCCATCACCATAGTCCCATGTGTTCTTCCCACCCCTGTTTTGATCCCTCTCCTTCCTCTTCCCCTATAGAATGTCTCTGATTTATAGTTGCCTATTGATTTTGAGTTTTAATTTATTATAATTACTTTTTTCCCCTGATCCCTTATTTGTTTCCTCTACATCCCTCCTATAAGTGAAATCATTCGTTATTTTTCTTTTTCTTTCTGGCTTATTTCACTGAGCATAATAATTTTTTTGGTTGATTGTGAGAATGCTTTATGGTTGTTGAATATTAGATCCTTATTAAGTATCTGATTTGCAGATATTTTCTCCTATTATGTGAGTTTTTTTCACTTTCTTAATAGTTTTCTGTGACACACAAAAATAACGTTTTAATGGAGTCTGAATTTATCAATTAAACCACTGCCTAGTTTAGGCTCATGAAGATTTACATCTATATTTCCTTCTAAGAGTTTTGTAGTTTACATTTAAATCATTAATAGTTTTTGAGTTTTTTAAAAAGAGAAAAAAATAGAGAAGTTTAATAATAACATGTATATTTATATATATGCAAAAGACCCAGTGTGACTGAGTAACTCAAGTTAAGTTTTGTGTATGGGTGTGAGGCCAGGTCCAGATTCATTCTGTTTTTTTTTTTTAATTTTATTTTATATATTTTTAACATCATTTTTCATTTTTGCACAACGTATGCATTTTCATCTTGGTTATAGTCCCCATACAATTCCCATCTCCCTTATTTTCACCCTAATCACTCCCCCAACCGCCCCGTAGTGTGTCTCTGGTTTATAGTTGCTTGTTGATTTTGATTTTTACTTTATTATAATTAGTATTTTTTTCCTGGTCCCTTATTTAGGTTTTCTAAATTCCTGCTCTGAGTGAGACCCAGATTCATTCTTAACACATTTAGATAAATTTTTCTAGGTGTCTCTTCTTTCTTGAGAAGATTATCTTTTTTGTTGAAAGACTTTTTTTAAACTTTCCTCTAAAACTCCTAACTGTATTAGAGAAATGATATTAAAAGCAAAAAAGATTTAAATAACATTTACTCTTTTCTGCTTACTGAAACTAAGATAGTAGTTGAGGCAGGAGGCAACTTTGCATATGCCTGCAAGCCTTCTTGTATTGGAATAAGCTGTTTGCCAGCCAGCTGCCTGTGGTTGAGTGATTCACATGATTATCTACACTTTACATGGTAGAACACTTTCAAACATTTTACTATACACAATGACAAAAAGGGGGAAAACAATCATTCTGAGTACACACAGAGTAGGTAAACAGCGTTAAGAGTCAAAACAGCTTCAACACTTGCAATAAGGAAATTCTTTGCATTCTCCACCAAATACTGTCAATAGTATTAATGTAAAAGAAAACTAAGTTGAAACCAAGTATCTAGTGTGCTAGTTAGCTTTTTAAATCTGTAAGTAACTCTTCCAGGGTGATAAGGCAACTGAGTAATTTCACTATATTAGAATGTATTAAATTAATCATACTTGAATTTTTCAAACAAGTTTGTTTTCACTATTTGGGATCCCTTGCATTTTCCATTTGACACAAATATTACTTGTCCAGTTCTGGAAAAAAATAAAAAGCAGTTGGAATTTTGCTAGGGTTTGTATTGGATCCGTGGGTTAATTTGGGAAATATTGCCATCTTAACAATAATAATTCTTCCAGGTCATTCACAGTGGTTGTCTTTCCACTTATTTGTATCATCATTGTTTTATAGTTTTCAGTGTGTAAGACTCACACATCTTAGTATAAATGTATTTTAAGTGGTTTATTCTTTTTGATGCTATTTCCATGTCTGATCAACATTGTGCTTGCTGGAGGGTCTAGCAAGGCAATTAGATAAGAAAAACTAATAAGAAATACTCAGGTGGGGAAACCTAACTTTCTGAACTGCAGGTGACGTCTTCTGTGTGAAGATAATTTGTACAGTGTTTTCTTATTTCATTTTCAAAAAAACTCTTGTGGTTTAGGTATTTTGTAACCATGATACAAATAAGGGAATTAAGATCGAAAGAGACTAACCAATTTGTTCAACTTTTTCCAAGTAATGTGGTTAGTGACTGGATTTTGAACCTAATTCTCTTTGACATCAAAAATGCTTCATAAAGGCTTCCTGAAGGCACTGCACTAGATTCCGTGTTGCACTGTTGTAAGAGAGGTTTATCCTGTCTTTAGGAATATGTATTTGAAAAGCTACCATGATGCCTAAAAAAAGATAATTTTACCAGAACCTTTTCTTATACTTTGCGCTTTATACTTAAAAAAAAAAAAAACACATGGCAGCAATTTAAGAATTCAATCATTTGTCAGGTTTTGTGATATATTTGTTTTATTTTTTAAGGGAAGCACATTAAAAACAAGTTTTCTTGCTTCCCATGTGCCAATTTTGTAGTCAGATTTTCTCTCAAAGAGGTCTATTTTTATTCTGAAACCCCAATTAACTAAATCAGCTTTTATTTATGAATATTTATGCAAGTTTGCTATTTCTATTTGATATATAAAATGTATAGTCTTGTTGAGAATAGGGAAAATCCTTTGGCCATCGCAATCTATCCCTTTAGGAGGTCAAGTTTTATTTTGTCAATGTCTCTGTTGATCTTTGTCTATGGCAATGCCATTTCCACTGTAGAAGATAATAGTAATGTTATAAATAGCAAATGCCTTTGGCCTGCTTTTTCTGCTTTCCAAAGTTTATCTCTTTATTCTTATTTCTATACAGCTTTATTATACTCAAACTCCAGTGTCATGTTTTGCACTGTAGTAATGGTGCAGTAAATGGTGGTTATTAGTATTTCAGACCATACTGTCCTCCCAGAAAATGAACCAAAGATATGTCAGGGGGAAATTGAGGGTGAGACATACATGCACACTCACATGCACAGGAAAATAGAAGATTAAGAATAAGTCAAACAGTCCAATAAACAAAAAAAGTAATAGAAATTGAACAGTCTGCTCGTGTGTGTGTGTGTGTGTGTGTGTGTGTGTGTGTGTGTGTGTGTGTGTGTGTGTAAAATTCTCTTTAGGGAATGTCAGCCAGCATCTTTGTGATTGGCTGTGCTTTGTTCCCACAAAACCACCATAAAGGATGAAGAGAGTGGAGCCATACTTCCCCACTGGTTAAGTATCGGACCAAGCTGTCCCCTGAAATGAGAGCACATAGGCTCCCTGGCACTAACAAATGCCTTTTGTCTGCGGTGCAGCAGCACCGTGGATTGCATCGTGTTAGGCTTCATCAGCTACCTAATGCAATGTAACTTGGGAGATAAGATAAATCAAAGCGATGACATTATATTAGATTTGAAAGATGAGAGCTCTTCCAAAGCAATTGCAGAGTGTATATTTCAGTGCTGTTGACTTCAGGAGGTTATTGAAGTCAAAGTCTTTGCAACAAAACCAATCTTTCAAGAACTGGGGAGCAAGTAAGCAGAGTTAGGCTTGTTTCTTCCGAAGAAAAATAGCTGGGAAAGAGTGCAATTCTCCTTTGTCTATTTGTTTTACAAAGCGATGAAGTTTAACCTTATATTTTTAGTATATTACAAGTATAGCTATTTGCCTTTTTTAATATAGCTCATGTGCAAGTGTATATTAAGCAGGAGAGATGGATTTCTGATTTAAGTCTATTTTCATCTGTTGCTAAATTACTCCAAATACATATGCCTAAAACTGAAAAGGATTTCTTATCATACTTGTGACTATATCAGTAAATGATTATGATTCCTTTTTTAAAAATTCTAAAAATTTGTATCTTCTATTTATCAAATGGAACATCATAAATTTAGGTATTTAGAAATGTTGCAATTGATTCTTTCTTTTGTAGCCTACTGTGTGTGAACGAGAGCTATGTGTATTTGCTTTTCAAACCCTGGGAGTAATGAATGAAGCTGCTGATGAAATAGCAACTGGAGCTCAGGTAGTAACATGATAGTAATTATTCCCTATTTTGACTTGAAAATTTTATTTTGATCCACTACTTATATTCACTGTGCTATTCTTTAAAGTTTGACAGTTTGGAAATCAAACCAGTATTTGACTATTTTTTAGATAGAAAGTAAATTTTGCTATCTTAATCTGATGTCTATTTTGTCATTTTACAGTTGCCAAGGGAAGAAATTAAACCAACCTTCTATTGCTTGAAAATGGTTGTTATTTTTTCTTATATGCTGAATTTGAGATAGTGAAATCCTTTCACATGTATTATGTAAAATTTATTTGTAAAGTTAGAGTGCCATAAAATGGACACCAATTTGTTTTAAAACGTAGGTGAAAAAATAATGGGCAGACCATATAATAAAAGAGAGCATTTAGTTTTACCATAGCAGTGTTTATGGCAGGGGGAAATGCAAAACATAAACAATATAGAAGAGAAACAACCCATTTTTCTGGAAAAATATAAATTATAAAAATATAAAAATTTACTTACTCCATGCAAATCCATCAAAATTTCACTTGATTTTTCTTTCATTTTTGGAAGCTGACTAAATCACTAATAAATATATAAGAAAAACTAGAGAAAACTTTTTAAAACTAACTACATATTCATTAGGGCAACTAGACCAACTATAATACAAAAACTTATTGTACAATCCTGTATCTTAACAAAATGCAGTACTAACAAGGAATAGAATCCAGATTGTCCCCCAAACATCATAGTTATAAATATGCCTAATATATGTTCAGGAAGTAGCACATTAAATCATAAAATAAAAGTGATTTAGGAATCATAGAAGAAAATAAGAATGAAGGCATCATATTTTTAACCTATAGATGGTCATTAATGGCCTTTGGCAGAAGAGAGTAGGAAGAAATAAGATGATGTAGGGGTATTTACTGTTCTTGGAGCCTTGCCAAACTCATTTCCTATAATTGCAGTTTCCTTCACCTGGAAAGGTTTCTCCCCAAATAGTCACAAGTCTCCCTTCCTCATGTTGCTCAGGTCTCTGTTGAAAATCACCAACTTCCCTAGCTACTCTAAAATAGGAACCCCCTCTGCCTTTGTCTCTTATGCCTACTTAATTGTTATAGCATTTTATAGCTTTTAACACTACCATAAAATATACTTAAGCATGTACTGTTTAACTATTTTATTTTTCTGATACACATTCTCCATTAGAATGTAAATTGCATAAGAGCAAGGACATGTCTGTCCCCTTCCTGTCTTGCCCTAGCATCTAGAACAGTGTTAGCACATAGTATCTGTTCATGACAAAGGTGCAGTAAAATATGAGCAATTGGAAGTAACACATATTTGTATTTTAAACTTGAGGTCAAGTATGGTCAAATTTTCCCTAAAGTTACATAACAGATGTGACAGATATACAGCAGTCCTGAGACTTTTATATGCTACCTTGAGAGAGAGAAACCAGAGTAGAGCACTTGATAAATTCTGAAGGATAGTAATTATCTTATGTGTGTATTTCAAGGTGGTAGATCTACTAGTATCCATGTGTAGGTCTGCATTGGAATCTCCTAGAAAAGTTGTCATATTCGAGCCATATCCCTCTGTGGTAGATCCTAATGATCCTCAGATGCTGGCATTCAACCCCAGGGTAAGTAGCCAACTTCAAATGTCAGTCAAACATTTTCTTTAACAATAGCTTTAGTCTCATGACCACTCTCAGGAAGCATATCCATGACCTGTCACGACCTCTGTTGCCATTGAGTAAATGCGGGTCTTTTCCCTCAAACTTGATTTGCTTCCACTTCACTCTTTCACATATTCTCTTACTTCCCCCTTTCTTTTCTTGCTTTGAAATCATTTTCAGAACTTTATTTTCATGAAACTAGGCCCATGCAATTCCCTCACATTCCAATCTTTCCATACCCCATCTACACAGAAAGTTGTGGATGGCTGATTTGAGTTGACTTGTGATGGTTAATATGATTATTTTAATTTTGTTCTATGTTTTGAAATTCTAACTTATGCAACCTCATTTTATTTTATTTTATTTTATTTTTTAAGCTTTTTTTTTTTTTAATAGAGGCATGCTTTATTTATTTGTTTGCTGGTTTGCTTGTTTGTTTTGCTTATACATGCACTGGGTACAGTCAGAAGCGCGGGAGGGTGAGAGAATTCACCAGAGCCAGAGCGGGGAGCAGAGCAGGCAGAATGACCGAAGTACACTGCTGAGGGGAGCAGCGGGCGGCAGGAGAGGTCTGCGCGCCATGTGGGACCCTCCTCCGGTGGCCGGGGAGCAGCCGGGGATCGAACCGGCGCCGCAGAGGCCGCGGAGCAGTTTCGCAACCCAGCGCTCAACCGCTGCGCCACCGGGGAGGTCCTGCAACCTCATTTTAATTTTAAAGTTTCTGTGTAAAAGGACAGGTTTCCCTTTTTCTCTTGTGTTTTTACTTCACCATTCTCTGGTCTCTCCCCCTCCACCCTTCCTTGTGAAGTAAAGGTTAATGGAAGTTGAATTCATATTGCTGTTCAACTGCAGTTATTGAGAAAGCAATTTTATTTTTTTATTTATTTTAAAAGATTTATTTATTTATGCATACAAGAGATGAGGTACAGGCCAGAAATGCAAGGGGTGGGTGGTGAGAGGATTCACCAGAGACAGAGTGGGGAACAGAACAGGCAGACTGACTGGAATACATTACTGAGGGGAGCAGTGGGTGAGACAGGAGAGGTCTGCTTCACCATGTGGTTTCTTCCTGGCGGGCCGGGGATTGAACTCTTGCTGCAGAGGCTGCGGATTGCTTCATAGTGCAAGGCGCTTAACCCCTCGCGCCACCAGGGAGGCCGAGAAAGCAATTTTATAAATTCATGGAGATAAAGCAGAGCCTTCTGAAATATATTTTTCAAATTTCATAATTGCCTTTGCCTCTTTTACTCTTCATCTTGAAATCATTTTACAGAAACAATGACTAGATAAACTTTTCTTGGAAAAACCAAGATAAAAACCATCTTTCACAGATGGCAACAGTGCACATATTTGTACTACGCTTAGGAATTATTAACAGAGTATGTAGCGTCATTTATGCACTTTTATACTCTTTTGGTACCAGTCTTCCAATGAAACAATTAAAAATAAAATTAACTTGTAAGAATTAAAATGGATTTATATTTTGGAAGGATTCTGTGCTTACTTTATTTGTCATGGATTAATCCCTTAATGGAGAAAGCCAGAACTAGAACCCAGGACCATTTTTGTATTGATAGTTTTTTCCCCTGTTTGCTGAACATGATCATATGGACTTGGGACTGTCATTGTTTTCTTCTCTCTGAATTATAAGTCCTATTGTCACTGAGCCATCTCATTGAAGTGTTCCCTTTTGTGTATACAACAACACAGACATTGCTGGACCCTGATGGGAAATTCTTGTACAAAAATAATATGTTTCTCCAGCGAATGTGTAGACTCACAAAGGCTTACAGTAAATACTGTTTGTTTTTGTTTTTTTTTTCACTCCACAGAAGAAGAACTATGACCGAGTAATGAAAGCATTGGATAGCATAACTTCTATTAGAGAAATGACACAAGTAAGTACATCATCTTGTGGTCTTGTACAGTTTAGTTTTGTATGAGTAAAATCATATTTTAAAAATGTCTGAGAGGAAAAAAAATAAGAGGATTAACTACGTAGTAAAATGTAGACTTTTTTATTATATAGGAGTAAAATTAAAATGATAACAATTTAAAAAGTGCTGTAGTGGGATGTTTTAATTAATTTACATCACCAGTGTTTGGCAAGCTATCACTGTGATTTTGAGGGTAATTGCATAATTATGTTTTACTCTCGAACTAGGGCAAGAGTTTGAGTACATTGGGATATTTTAAGACAAAGGTTAAAGCCGGTACCATCTTCTTAGATGGTGGTCATTTTAATTAATGGTAGCCATTCCAAAATATCATTTTATGTTAAAATAAAGGCAAATATTCTGTCAAATGTAATTTATCCATACATTAGATATAATCTCAATGTAATTTTGGAAGACACCAGACTCCTTGAGAAAATGAGTTCATTTATTTATTTACTTATTTATTTTTGGCCATTAGAGATGCTTTGGGGAAAGGTTTGATGAACAAGGATTCAGAGTTTATTATGAAAGTCTAACATATCTGGGCTAGAGTCCAGCACTTGGAAAAGCACATGCTATTGAATTATTGAGGCCTTTCCATTGCCAAAGATTTAGAAAGAGATTTAAAACTCATTTTAAGTCAAAATTAATAATCCTTAATTAACAACACCATTATGTGTTCAGTTTGCATATGGTGGTTTCATGGTTTGTACTGCTCTGGGGGCTCGCAGGCTTACAAACACTTCACCCTGACCCTTTCCTTTCTCCATGGAGGAAATAGTGGCTTCCTGCTCTCCATGGTGTTGTGATTCTGCTCCCCTCACCTCCCACCCTCATCTCTACTCTGCTTCAAAATGTACTCCAAGTATATTTTTTTACATTCCCGAAGTTAATTCTTGATTCTTTCCATAGTAACTTATTTCCTAGTCAAAATTCATTCATTCATTCAACAGCTAATACGCCAGACAATGGTAAACGGAAGATCCTTTAATTCACATTACATTACTTACTTAAAAGCCGTTATTCTCTCCAGTTTTTCTGTGTCCAAATCTTTCAGTAGTTTCTAAATTCTCTTTCAAACAGAACAATAAACAAACAAAACAAGAAAATGCATTTTTATCTACAGGGAATAAAAAGAACCTAATGCAATATCTTACACAAAGTCAGTACACATTTTTTTTTTTCATTTTGAAAAAGACTTTGGTATAGGGTATTTATATTATACCCTAGACCTAGATCATTCTTGGATTTAAAAATAGCTACAAACTGGGATCAGCTCTCTGCCAAAAATTACTTCCTTTATTCTGGGTCATGTGTAAGCTATTTTAATAGAAGGCAATTGAGATGATTGAGTGTCAGCCTGGGAATTTAAAAGATTCACATATAACTTGCTCATCGATGATGTAGCCTATGACCTTGGGCAAGTTGCTTGATTGCTTGCTGCCTCAGTTTCTTCACTGTCAGTACTGTGAACGGGGGCCATCCCAGCAGCATCACATGCTGTCAGATTTCACTGCGTCAAAATTCTTAAACCTCTCCAAATAAATACAACATGCTGTCTTGTTTTTTAGATTGTGTTGTGTTTTGGACAAGCTCAGTTACAAAAGATTTGCACTTTGTTCTAAATAAATAATTGTCTAAATAAACCCATTAAATACTTTTTAAAAGAAGGACTGCTCTTAGGTAAATTGTTTGCAGTTTTCTCATGTCAAGATCTATACCTAAGTCAAAACTGTTTGATAAGAGCATGAGTAGTAGCTATTAGAAGTTTAAGCTTACTAATGTTGGTTGAAAGTTAAAAACTCCTTGTCAAAGGGAAAACCCATCCAGACACTTGTTAAAGGTGGTAAGACACGTTTTCTTCAGAGGGCTGCAGTCGGAGCTGAACCCATCTTCAGCTAAGACAGAGCTGATTTAAGTTTTGAAAGTGATAATAGAGAGGAAAGAAAATGGGGTGTGGAGAAGTGAAAATTGGGGCAACAGAAAAGGACTTGGATATAGAAAAATGGAAAATTTCAGCAAGGGGATACGTGAAGAATTGCTGAAAGGTTAGGCACCATGGGTTGGTGTAATATACCTTCTATGGTTTGGGGGCATTGGGTTTTTCGGAGCAGACTCAGTAGTGGGCTTACCAATGGGGACATGGCCTAGAGCATGGAATTCAGGTTAAAGTTTGGTTGATTCTCTTAGCAAAATATTTAGGGGAGTTTTTTTGTGTCTCAAAAGTTGGAAGTTGATGTCATCTCAGGAAGAAACAATGAGGGTAACTTACTATTTCGAGGCCATAAACTTTCAGGTTTGACTGGATTAGGCGTACTAACTCAATATGATTTTCCCTTTTTTTTTTTTTTTTTTGTGGGGCCCTCGCCCGTGGCTGGGGAACAAACCAGCGCTGCAGAGGCTGCAGGCAGCCTCGCAGCCCAGCGCTCAACCAGTGCGCCACCAGGGGAGGCCCTGATTTTCCTTTTGCAAAAAAAAAAAAAAAGAAAGAAAGAAATTTTAAGAAAAATCAAGACGTGTAATTATTTTTTTTCAGGCACCATACCTGGAAATCAAGAAGCAGATGGATAAACAAGATCCCCTTGCTCATCCCTTACTGCAATGGTATGAAACTTTAGATTTCCTCTTAACAAAAACAGCATCAATTTCTACTATCTGATTTAAGGGGGGGGGACCTCTTTTACAAGATCTGCAATGCTACAGTTGCACACGCTTATGAGGCACAGTGATTTTACATTGCAAGGGTCTTTAATGACTCTCATTTAATTAAAACTTGTACATCACAAAGGGAAGCAAATGCCATCTGATGCACTATAGGGGATCTACAATTTATTTGTCAACATTGTTATAAAAAAGGTGATGGATGGGATTACATGGTGGTGAAATCATTTTGTGTCATTTGATTCTCCAGTTAGTTGAGAAGTGATAACATTCATCTAGTCAATGCTTTACTGAAAATCTTTCTAACATCTATGTTTTTTGTAATTGATTCCCTTCACAAGGACAGTATAAATTTGATGAGCTCTTTAATGACTATAGATGATGCTTCAGAGTGAGGCTGGGGCGGGGGTCTAGAACAGGAGTACGTTAGGGACCGTAGGATAATAGGAGAGATAGCTTGAGAACTCAACTTTGATGCTTCCTATAATTTGCCTCTGGTTTTTGATTAGCAAAATGAAATCAATGGGCTCATATCATGCCTACAAGGGTTTTGGGTACTTGTCTCTTTGAAATCACTGAAAACGCAAAGACTATGGAATTTATTACAATCATGCAGAAATACAAATGTAAAGATTATAAGAGATTTGGTCTGAATGAGTACTTATTCTATGCTATAACCAGGAAATTTTTAAAATATGTAATTATATAAAGATGGGCAAAGGGGAAAGAATCTGACTGCCTCAAAATTTGTATTGTACGGCTTTGACTTGGTCAGTTTTAGAATACATGTTTTATTTAGTCTAAAAGACTATGAAAAAAAGATGAGGTTTAGAAGTCTTTTGTATCTTTTGTGATTTATTTTTAAAATTCTGATGAATTAAGTAAAATAACAGTTTTCATTTTAACTTTTTAAATTCTCACATTGAGTCATATTCAAAAGAAGGTAAAAATCTAAACGGTCTCATCTCTTCTCCTGAAGTCAACCAAAATGCTAACTTTTAATTATTTGTGATTATTTACTTAAGCTTGTTAATCACTTTTATTTTAAGAAAAAGAAAGTCTACCAAAGTGCTTAATAATTTCCCTACTTATTATTTTGTATGCTAAAAAGCATAAAACAATTAGTGTTATCGTATACTGAGTTTAATTTTTTTCAACTTCAGTGTCTAAATATGTTGAATAACAGTTTCTGTATAAATCATTATGTATGTCAGCCCAAAGAGATCCTCAAATATTTAAAGAAAATGATCTTTATAAAAATTTGTTTTTAATTAGATTGTGTAGGGAGGTACAAAGAAAGCAGATATATGAATCAGCTTATTATCTTTGTATTGAGACCATCACTACTTCAAAGTCTATCCAGAAAATCTTTAATTTTGCCAATAATTGATATTGTGACTATTAAAAATTTTATCTTCATGGAATTTAAGGATTAAAATAATATTTTTCATATTATATAAGCTCTTTAAAACATTCCAGGAAGCAAAGCAAAATTCTGTAATTAAAAATTACTAAAATTACAATGTGTCACAGCAAAAATAAGTTCCACACACTTGACAACTAAGGGGAAAATCTTTAAATATATTTGGCATTTGTTTGTGACTGATGGGTTATTTTAATTAATTTCAGGGTTATTTCAAGTAATAGGTCACATATTGTGAAACTGCCAGTTAACAGGGTAAGTTATTTTTTTTTTTTACATATACATACAAAAGTCACATACTTATTAGTTAGGAGAACTGACCCCTGTGATTTTTAGGAAATTGAAGTACATTCAGGTTAAGCCTAATTTTTTCCTTGAAAGTGCCGTATGTATACTGGCTTCAGTGTTTTTGAAGATATCAAATCAAATTCAGACTGCTGCTTTGACTTTTTAAGTAAATAAGAGTCAGTAAAATATTTAGTCTACAAGGGATAGAAATATTGTCTGAGTTGACCAGTAGAATGTAACATGCTGCTTCTAACTGTCCGTTTCATGTTGTTACTGCCCCTCTTTCCTATGTGGGAGAAGACACTGCCCCCACATATCTTACTGATCAGTCTAGTTCTCTTGAAAAATAAAGAAAAAGTTAATGGATGCTCATTTCAGTTCTCATCATCACCTGAGAGCAGTACCTAAAGTCTCAGCTCTCCCATTTATTGTTATAGGATTTATAGGCAAAAGAGCATAAACCAGAAATTTTTTTTCAGGCTCCTTATCCAAAAGGTTCTATTTTAATTATTTCCATGATCAAAGGGGAAAACTATATTTGAACATGGACATTTTCCAATTTTACACACATATGCAAATAAAGCACTATGATAATTTTACCATTTTAATATCTTGAACTAACTTTTCTTTTCTGCTTAGCCAACTCTCAGATTATTTCCCCAGTTGAATTGTTAGTGTTTACTTAGGGAATTCAATAATAAAAGCCTTAAAAAGAAATGTAATTAGAAAGGCAGATCTGCTTCAAGATGATTACTTAGTATATTCCACAGTTAACTATAAGTGACTTTGGATTGTCTGTCTCATATTTCTTTTCCATTAGCCTAAAGAATTATTCTCATATCAAGAATTCCTTATGATTTATCATTTATGCAGTTTTTTTAAAAAAAATGAATGGTCCTTTTAATGTGATTAGTCTAAAACTACCATGGTTTGAAAGTAGATAATTCTTAACCAAAAAAAATTTGAAGTCTGATTATATGTTTAATTTGACATGTTTTTATTTGTCGTTATTTTAAATGGCAGCAATTGAAGTTTATGCATACTCCACATCAGTTTCTCCTCCTCAGCAGTCCACCAGCCAAAGAATCCAATTTTAGAACTGCAAAAAAGCTATTTGGAAGCACCTTTGCATTTCAGTGAGTATGACTTAATGCTCAGGGGGATATTTCCACTTCCAGAAATGTATGCGGAGGAAAACATTCACTTTTAGTGGTTGGCTATTAACACCAAATAGTCAACCAAAATCATGCTTGACTTGGGAACTTAGAATTTTCAGGAGACATATATAATGTGACCACTGTAAAAGATCATTGATTTTTGCTTTTGCTTTTTCCTTTCCTTTCTATTTTTTAGTGGCTCACACATTGAAAACTGGCACTCCATCCTGAGGAATGGTCTGGTTGTTGCTTCTAATACAAGGCTGCAGGTAATTTATTGGAATGCTTTAACGAGACCTCATTATCCTTCAATATTGGAGACAAGTAAGCTATCCTGGTGTAGCATTTTGACTTGCAAAAAGGAAAGGGTGTGGCTTTTAAAAGTAACATGGAATTTCTAGTTACATAAATAATTTTCACAAGACAGCTAAAACAGAATTAATCAGTATACAACATGAAAATGCATGCAAGAACAGTAAAATCTCTTTGGACCTAAATAGAAACTTACTTATGTTTCTAAATTTAAACATTAAAAAAAGCAGGTTTAGGCAAGACATAAAACCACACAAGTGTCTTGTTAATTCAGTACATTTGGACACAGTTTCAGTGAATACTTTAAGAAAAGGTAGGGCAGCGTTTGGCGATAGCAGGATATTGTGGATTTAATCCTCATCCTTGATAAGCCCTTCATATTGAACTTCCCACGTCAATCTCACACAGTTGGTTTTCTTTTGGCTATTTAAGGAGGTCAGGAAATGAGATGTCCAACTCAATCACCTGCACTAGATCTCAACTGTCTCAGTGACACTTGATATGATGCAATTATCAATGTTCTTAGTTATACATTATTGGGTTAGTATTCACTTCAAGTTAAATTGGGTGCAGTGTGCCTAGAACATAGAAATAATAGGAGAGAATTTTAATTGTACTGCTTAATTTCTTTTTTAAAGATTTTATTGATTTTTGCACAGAAGAATTGGGGTATAGGCCAGAGGTATGGGGGGTTGGGAGGAGGGTGAGAGGATTCACCAGAGACAGAGTGGGGAGCAGAACAGGTGGGTCTACTGAAATACACTGCTGGGGGGGGAGCAGCAGGTGAGACAGGCGAAGTCTGCTGCGCCACGTGGGTTAGTTCCCTGGCCGGGGTTCAAACTCAGGCCATCTCAGAGGTAGTGCTGAGACTTAGGCCCTAGGCTCCCTAGGCCATCAGGGAGGCCCATACTGCTTACTTTTTTACATCAGTAGAAGAGTGTCAGTTAATGAAACTCTATAACTTGAAAAATTTACAGTGGGATATGAATGGGATGACAGTGTTGTATGAAAATCTGAGCAGGTTCCTTGTTCATATACTAACTCCTGAGCCCTAATCAAAATTCTGTCACATGTGTTTTAGTCAGTTTTTTCAGAATTGTAGATTCATTAAAACCAGAGTCTACTATAGTACTTTATAATAAGCGGCTCTGTCATTTGGTAGGATACAAAACCTTCCCAAGGATTTTATTCTTTATCATTTTTCATATATCAGCTCACTGAATTTTAAGGACAAGGATATTAGTACTATTTCAAATTAGACCTTGGAATACATTTTTTATCATTTTTGAAGAGTTAATGCTCCAGTGTGAAACCGGTTGCCTTCTTTTGGGACATTAACATTTGAGACCATTGATGGACTAATTTCTCTTCTCTTCCCATGTTAGCTCCATGGTGCAATGTATGGAAGTGGAATCTATCTTAGTCCAATGTCAAGCATTTCATTTGGTTACTCAGGTCAGTTTGTATTTCGTGTCTAAACTCAAGTAGGTTTTTATGTTTTGATTTGATATGTCATAGGTACAATTTGCTATCAAGTAACTGAAGTTTATTTGATTTTTTAAAAATATTTATTTATTTATCCATACAAGAACCTGGGTACAGGCCAGATGCGTGGGAGGGTGAGAGGCTCCACCAGAGACAAAGCCGGGAACAGAACAGACAGACTGACAAAATACACTGTTGAGGGGAGCAGCAGGGCGAGGCAGGAGAGGTCTGCTGAACCATGTGGGAATTTTCCTGCCTGACCGGAATCAAACCCGTGCTGCAGAGGCTGCGGACAGCTTCACAGCACTGCGCTCACAGCCTGCGCCACCAGGGAGGCCCTTATTTGATTTATTTTTATTAAATTAACTTCATGAATATCATTGATTATTCTGTATTCCATAAAAAAAGTGCTGAATGTTATGGAAAATTTAGGATTAGAAAAACATCCTTAGCATTTTGCAGCAACATGGATGGCGCTGGAAGGGATCATGCTCAGCGAAATAAGCCAAAAAGAAAAAGAAAAATACCGGATGGTCTCACTCATAGCAGGAATCTAGAAAACTTAAATAAGGGACCAGGAAAATGAATATAAGAAAGTGAAAATCAAAATCAACAAAAAACTATGAACCAGAGACACTTTTTGGGGGGTGGGGGGCGGGAGGGGAAGGATTGGGGTCAGAATGGGGCGTTTGCAATTGTATGGGGGAATATAAAAATAAAATTTATTATTTAAAAAAAAAATATAATATGCAAGCAATTTAAAAAAAAAAAGAAAAACATCCTTAGAATCATCCTACTTATGGGAGCTTTTTATTAACACTTTGTGAGATTATTTGAAAAAATATAATTTGGAATAAATTTCAAGCATGTGCTGAAGGAGGAGGTAAATTCAGTCTGGAAAGGATGATCATCAGATTGTTAGCATTTATTATCAGGTGGAGGGATTTGGGGTGATTTCTTCTTTGAACTTAAAAAAATTTTGATCAGTATAAATTTTTTTCTAGGACAACAGCATTCTGTTTAATATAAAGTCATTATGCATATTACTCATTATTGAGCATAATTATGCTCACTCAAAGAAATGGAAGCTACACAAAATTATATAATACAACAAATGAAATTTTTTTCCTCTTTCCAAAACCTCAGTTTTCAGTGTATTTCTCTTCAGACTTTTAAATGTTTTTGTAAATTCATTTACCTGCATATAGAGTATGTGTGTGAGAGAGAGAGAGAAAAAAAAGAGAGAGATTAGGTTGGGGAGGAGGGAGAGAGAATCACAATCAACCACTTCAAGAATGTCATTCACCTGGTGTCTGGATAGCAAATCTTAAGCTCTTCATCTTACAGAAAGGGATAGTTAGGTGAACATTACCAAACCTACCTGTCCAATTTTTTTTCAGGTCCCTGCTCTCTTTGTCGTAACACGTTGTTTTTCAGTGTGCACCCCAACTTTCCCAGAGTACATGTCCTGGAAGCAGCAGGCCCTGTGCCTCTTTTGGTCCCGGGAGCTCCACGCCCACCACCTGCACGCACTGCTGGTGAAGGCATCCAGTAGGCGAGGACTGGGAAGTGAGACTCCATCTCTTGGTGAAAGAGATAGGAGATTCACAGGGTAGAAAAGCTTATGAGTTGAGAAATATTGTTGCACTGATCTTTGAAAATACAATATTACAAAAAAAAAATACCAAGAAGTATAAGATAGTAGGGAGTCAAATAACATAATTCAAAGGAGAAAACAAAATCAGCACGAATCATACTCTGAATCATATTAAAACAATCCAAATAAAGAAGTCAAAACCAGTCTGACTGAAGGAATACGTGCTCAGCAGAGATAAGGACAGACAGTAGCTCCTCCACTACTGTGATTTCCTGTGCTTGTGCTGGTGTGTGAACTCCTAAGACAGGCTCATGGAAAGGATTGTGAGGGATACAAGTAGATTTAGACTATGTCGGTGTCTGCGCACTTGTCTGTGGAGACAGTCAAAAATTTCTTCAAATTCTCGAAGTGTCCTCAATCTGAAACAATACAAGAACCAGCGCAGTAAGAGGAAGCAGCTTCCCAGTTAGTTTTGAGGGTACACGTCTGGGTGGTCAAGAGCAGAAGAGTCCTAGCTTGTTCTGGCCTTTGCCTTTCTTTCCCTCAGAGCTATGCATCCGTGTCCCAGATCTGCTCTTCAGCCTGCCAGCATTTCCCTGAAATGCTATAGCCACACAGGCTTGCCCATTCTCATAAGGCCTTTCACTGAAATGGCAACAAAAAGATGAACACATTTCTCAGCTTTTGGACAGTAGCAGAACATTTTCGAGTAGAGATACAAATCTGCCTATTCCAACACAGATAAAAATTTTAGTTCTCTTTTGTCTAAAGTCTTTCACAGTAAAAATCACAGCATTATCAGAGTGTGCTGATTGGTGAGTACCATAGAAAGATTTAAACAATTTTCCTTCACTAAGAGTACTAGTAAATTCTAATGTAATTGAATATATGTATCAATTGCATAGCAATTGAATATATGTATCACATATATGTATATGTGGTTAAGTCCTTCCATTCAGAATACATAAATGTGTTTTTTTCTGACATTGTTCATAGTTCCTACTCTTCTTCTACTGACCAGATGGTAAGACGGAAGGTTAGAGTCTCAAAATCTTTTCAAACCAAGCTTTAAGAATTTTCTAATCATATCAATTTTGTGCAAAGGAACTTCTTATCCCTGTTTTCAGTAAAAAGTACACTTCCAAAACCCGCTAAATTTCCAAAACCCACTAATTTTTCCAGCTGTGGTGGGCACAACAGCTGCTCCTGCAGGGTCTCTAACTCCTGTGACCTGATGCAGGTACACCTTTGCCCAAAGTGGAACTTTGCAGTGTATTCAGATTATATTTGAGCGGTGTCACCCAGCTTCTCTCTTAAATTACTCTTTTCCTGATGTTGTCAGGGATGAACAAGAAACAGAAGGTTTCAGCCAAGGATGAGCCGGCTTCAAGCAGTAAAAGCAGCAACGCATTACAGGTGGGGTAGCGACTGGAGTGACTGTGGGCGATGAGTGAACTGTGGCTTTAGCAGCCAGTGGGACTCAATAAAATGCTCAGGCTTTTTAAGTCTTCAAAATTATTTTAAGTAGTCATTACTCATAAAGGACTAAAACTCACCCTAATATGTAATAACTACAATGCATTTATTCAATAAATACTTGAGTATTTATTAAGTGCCTGCTGTAATGCTAGAGACTATCCTAGGCATTGGACTACAGTTTTGATAAAAAACAGACAACTCCTCCTATATCCTGCATGTTACCGAGTGCATATAAGTAAATGTATTTAGATAGAAATAATGGTTAATGGTAGTAAATATTATGGGAGGAAATATCAGAATGCCATGGGAGAGACAATGGAACTAGAATGAATGTTAAGTGCTCCGGTCAAGGACAGGAGTCTCCAAGGTTATATTTGGGTAAAGGCCTCCAGCCTGTGAGTGCTTGAGCCATATGGCTCTCTGGGAAAAAGAACATTCCAGGTAGAGAGAAGAGCAAGCATAAAACTATTGTTTCAGAGAAAATAAACATCCAGACAAATTAAAAATCATCTGATGAATAATATGCCTTTAAATTAAAAATAAAGACAAAACCCCAGATTTTCTACATAAGATGTTTCTGAAACATCTGTGGCTTAAAGATGCCATAAAAGTGAGTTGGTTTGGGGTTCACTTTAATGTTGTAAAAGATTATGCAACTTTAATTTTGTTTCCCTTGACATAAAGATGTCAGACTTTCCAGTAAAAACAGGCTTGAGTTCTCATTCTTTGTGAGACTATTGAACTTTAACATTTTTTAGTTCACTTATCTTGAGACTAATTTAATAATGATTAGGTACAGAAATTAAATGATATAACAAATAGAGCTTGACATTAAGAAAGAAATCAGGTACATTGCTGCGATCTAGATAGGCCTTTCTAAAAAATCTGGAGCTATCATAGTGACTTTTTTTTTTAATGATGATCAGTTTTTATCACTTGTGTGACTGCCCCATTTTTACTCTAATTTTTAAATTCTTTTGGAGTTTAGTCACAGAAAAAAGGACAGCAATCCCAGTTCCTGCAGAGCCGTAACTTAAAATGCATAGCCTTATGTGAAGGTAAGTTGAAAGTTTTACAAACCTCCTAATGTTAAATCTCCATAGTACTTGATTTAAGTATTCAATTATATTTACAGAATGCTCCTAAGTAATAACACAAGCATTATATTCCCTATGGCCATTGCTAAGGCCACATGTAGAAGATAGGGATAGTAGAGATGATAAAGCTGAAAACCAAAGAGAAGAGGCAAGAAAATATTTTATTCTTGGCAGATCATTATTTATCTTTCAGAGTGGTAATTATGCTTTATGATCAAGTATTGCATATCTCTTTTGTTACTATGTCACCTTTCTCTTTAAAGATTTCATTTATTTATGCATACAAGAACTGGGGCGTAGGCCAGAGGTGCGGAGGAATGAGAGAATTCATCAGAGACGGAGTGGGGAGCAGAACAGGGAGATGTCCTGAAATACACTGTTGAGAGGAACAGAGGAAGCAAGGCAGGAGAGGTCTGCTGCACCATGTGGCTTAGCTCCCTGGCTGGGGATCCACCTTATGCCACAGTAGCTTCATAGTGCTGAGACTTTAACCCCTGCACCACCACGGAGACCCTTGTCACCTTTCTCTTTAAATTGGTTTTTGAGGGCCTCCCTGGTGGCTCAAGGGGTTAAGCACCGCACTATGAAGCAATCTGCAGCCTCTGCAGCACGAGTTCGATCCCTGGCCAGCCAGAGAGAAACCCACATGGCAAGGCAGACCTCTCCTGTCTCGCCCACTGCTCCCCTCAGCAGTGTATTTCAGTCCGTCTCCCTGTTCTGCTCCGTAGTTTGTCTCTGGTGAATCCTCTCACCGTGCCCCCTCCCCGCCGCATCTCTGGCATGTACCCCATCTCTTGTATGCATAAATAAATAAATCTTAAAAATAAAATAAAATAAAATGTTTTTGAATATATACCATGAAAAATCTGAAAGATTATCAGGCGCCAAAAGGATAGCTCAGTAAGTAGGTCTTTCTGCTTCTATGCTGAAATTATCATTTTATTCTGAACTTTGGGCAGAAAAAATGAAGGGCAAGATCATATATTTTTCTTTGCTTTAAAATATGATTTTAACTAAAAATTCACTTCTTGTGCTGGGAGTTTTAGTAACCTTCATTTCCTATTTTGTAAGTTTTCAACAGTGATTTGTCATATAATACATTTAAGTTATGTAAGACATATAATTTACTTTCTACATACTTCCCCAGTCAGGACCTACTTGCTTTTGATAATACACAAGTAATTTCCTTCCTATTATTACCCCAGTGATGTTCAAAACATAAAATTGTTACATGGCCTTTCATTGTTCTTGTTGACAGCTCATGAGGTTAAACATTTTTCATGTTGATTTGTGCATGTGTTTTTGTTCTTTGATTTCTAAGAAAAGGGTAAATTTAGCGAGTTAAAATAAAACAGTTCTTTAATTTCATCCTCTACCCACAGTGATCACCTCGCCTGATCTGCACAAACATGGAGAGATCTGGGTCGTCCCAAACACCGATCATGTCTGCACACGATTCTTTTTTGTGTAAGTATAAAGGTTCAAATTTGTACATTACTGTCTTCTCCATAAATGAGATAGTAGTGACTACATTATTATTTGGTCATTTTAACCTGCCAATATATAATGGCAGTTATATACTGGCACTTTCTCAACAACTTAATGTTTTGGCTTCATTTCAATAAGTTGTAAGAAGCAAAGTGATATTTAAATGCTGTTGACTTATAAGAAATGAAGAAAAACATTTTGTCTCTTTAACCATCTATCTGTGTGTATACATATATGTATATATGTATACACATATATATGTATGTATATGTACACACGTGTGTGTCTATGTTTGGGACAGTCTTAGGTATTTTAAACATTACAACTGGGAGTGAAGAAAATAATAATGATTATGTCATATACCTATAAAAGATGATCTTTATTTCAAATAACATAGATCAACAGTGCAGGGCATATTGATGTGGATTTTTTGACATATCTGTGCCATAAGAACTGTATTAAAATATAAAAGCATTACTTCTCAAATCTAAATAATATTGTCTGTTTTTCACCCACTCTTGCTGGACTCTAAACCCTTTTCCCTCGTGCCTGTTCCTTATTCGTGATCTTATCACAGAAACCTTGGGAAGAGTTGCGTGTACCTGTTTTGTACTTTAGGTAATTTTTATAAAAGAAGTTGGGAGAAAAGCAGTGGTTTGTTCTAAGCTATGTCAAAATGACCTCATCACAGTTTCCTTAATAGATTGTATGTCCCGATGCTATGCTTACAACAAACTTACCTATTTTTTAAATTATTTTTAAAATTTTTTTACATCATTGTTCATTTTTAAACAATATTGCTTCCCCCCACCCCCTCAGGCGTAGTCCCCATAGAGTTTCCTTCACCAGCGCACCTGAGCACCATCACCTCAGTCCCCTGTGCTCCTCCCCCCTCCCTCCCTCTGATCTCTCTCCCTCCTCCTCCCCTGCAGTATGTCTCTGATTTATAATTGTCTGTTTTTGCTTTGTTGTGTTTTGTACTGTTATTATTTTTTTACACTGATGTCTTATTTGATTCCCCTATATTCCTGCTATAAGTGAAACCGTCCAGTATTTTTCTTTTTCCTTCTGGCTTATGAAAAAATGTTCAACATCCCTTATCATCAGGGAAATGCAAATCAACATCCCTTATCATCAGGGAAATGCAAATCAAAACCACATTGAGATACCACTTTACACCAGTAAAAATTACATGTATCAAAAAAACAAGCAACAACAAATGTTGGCGAGGATGTCGTGAAAAAGGAACTCTCCTACATTGCTGGTGGGAGTGCAAACTGGTCCAACCACTATGAAAAACTATCTGGAGCTTCCTCAGTCTACTAAAATTATAGCTACCATATGACCTGGCAATTCCACTCGTAGGGATCTACCCAAAGGACACAAAAACGTTGATTCAAAGGACCACCTGTACACCTATGTTTATTGCAGCACTATTTACAATAGGTAAAACCTGGAAATAACCCAGATGCCCCAAAATAGATGACTGGATCAAGAGGATGTGGTGTATATACCCAATGGAATAGTATTTAGCAATCAAAAAAGATAAAATCATGCCATTCACAGCAATGTGGATGGAGCTAGAAGGAATTATGCCCAGTGAAATAAGCCAGAAGGAATCAGTTCATTTATCTTGAGTGTGATTTAATAAAGATTCTATAGACATAGATAGGCTAGATGGGTTGGATTAGTTTATTGACCCACTGTATACTGTGAAAATCTCATAAACTGCCTGGTTTTCTTTTAGATGATATAGCTTTCTTATGACAACAGATCTATGTATTGTGTATCTTATGTTTATGATACATATTAATGCATAATATTGTATATCATAAGATATATGCAGTCTATATTTTTTCTTAGTGGTGACACAGCAGTCATTACAGTGGGAAAAAAATCTTTCTTTTGATATTTTGTGTCCAGACTCTTCAGTAATAAGTCAGGTAACACTGGTCGAGCCTCATGACCTCTGTTAGCTTCACCAATAGATGCATTAACATAATATCATCAATGGAGACAGGAGGACAATATCTCTAACTGCATAAGTCAGGATCCCAACAGGAATCTGAAGGCTTTTGAAAAACACAATCATTTGTCACATCTATAATTGGATAACTTACAAAAGACTGGTGATAGGGGATTTATAGGTCTAACTAGTAACCTGGATCTGGTAGAACCAGAACTGGTATACATCATCACGTCCAAAAGGAAACAGTTACCAGAATCTGGCAGGAGAGTCCTTCTTAGTTCTATAGCTTTGAAAAGCTTTGAAAAGAGGTGTGGCCTTCAGTTGAGGGACTTGGGTATACCAAAACAATCTTGTAGGGGATGGAACTGAAAGAAATCTTGACCTTGCCCTCCTGCCAGTTCTTACTGGAAGTCCCCATTTATCAAACCCTACCTGAAGCTAGAGAGCAAGGGAGCATGTTGACGGAATCCATACAGTTCAGCCTCCTGGGCAGAGTGCAGGGTAGGTGAGGGTGCCATATGGCCCTGAAGGCTGCTATCACCACTGAAAGGCACACATTAATATTTTTCCTCTTCTCTTTTTTTTTTTAAGATTTACTTTATGCATACAAGATCTGGGGTATAGGGCAGAGGTGTTGGGAGTGAGAAGATTCACCAGAGACACACAGTAGAGAACAAAACAGGCAAACTGACTGAAATACACTGATGAGGGAGCAGCGGCTGAGACAGGAGAGGTGTGCTGCGCCATGTGGGTTAGCTCCCTGGCCAGGGATTGAACTCATGCCGCAGTGGCTGGCACTAGCTTGATAGCACTGAGACTTTAACCCCTGTGCCAGCAGGGAGGCCCCCCCTCTTCTTTTTTTGACCCCCTTGACTACTACTGTCAGAAGATCAGCCTTCCCAGAGACACCTTCAATCACAGTTGTTTCATTTCATCTTGAGATTTGGACAAGAAAGTAGTTCCAAAGTCCTTCCTTAGCTTGGTATTAATCTGTTAATTTGCTCTTTTTAACATCTTAACTAAAATTAAAATTTATTGAGCTAAATTAACAACTTTAGATATTTAGTGTAGGCAATAACATTTCTAAATTATTTCTTGGAAATTGTATGTGAAGTGTACGTAAAATAAATCTGTAGGGATATCTGTGTGGGTGTGTGTTTACTGGAGAAAAGGATTTCTGTATTCCATAAGAAGAAAAAATTGAGAAAAAAAGCCATCATTTTAGTACCTTCAGATACTTTTCAATTATACAAAGGAAAAAAAATCTATTAAGGTAATGATTTTCATTTCTTTATAAACAAAAATGAGATTTCATCCTTTTTCTCTGCACCCTCAGGAAAGAAGGGTCTAATTAATGAAAATTGGTAAGATTCAAAACACATCAAAAGAAGAATCCATTCACTAATTAATGTACATTCTAATTAAAACCATCACTTTCTTTATAAAAGATATAATCACAGAGTTCTACTAGTCATGTATTTCCCTAGAGAGTGGTAACATCTAGCAAAAGAATAATTGATGAGAAAGAGGTGAGTTACCACAAATATACCATAATCAGACAGAAATGCGGTTTCTATTTTTATTTTATTCTGACTTTTTTACATTGCGTGATCACTCATGGTAGAAATTTGGCCAGCCAATTATGGTATAAATTTCTCTTTTCATTTCTCATCACTGAAAGTATTGAAAGTTAGAATAACTTCCATGCTAATGTGATTTCCAAAGTGAATCACATTCTTTCCAACAAGTAAACAACACAGAATGAGAGAAAAAAAATCAGAAATTTTAGGAAGCAGGCTGTTATATCAGAAAACATTGAAAGTAAAATTTAAAGGGCAAAAATTACTTAAGAAACATAAGGGAAGAAAAAGTGTGAACTTTTGTGAATAAATTTATTCTCAAAATAACATTAAATGAGTGATTTTTAATCAAATATAAATGCTTCGGACAGTGTAATAATTCTGATGTTGCGAACAGATTCCAGCCAATTTGGACTGTCCAGGAATTGGTGATAAAGCTTAATTCTGTTACTAACAATGAGACACAAGTGTACAAAGACATTAAAGGTAAATATGTAGAAATAAGTCAGCTATTTTAAAAAGGATCAGAGGCTGGACTTAAAGGAATATGAAAATCATATGGATACATTGTGTTTCAAACACATACAACAAAAATGTTTATTTCACCGTAATTAGAAATTTTAGAGCTAAAAAGGAAAATTTACTGTGGATAATTTTCATAATTAAGATTGAATAATAAAATCTTAGAGAAGTAATTGATTATTTGGCAAGTTAACAGAACCAATGTATCTCATCCCAGAGGCTCCCCAGGCTACACTGCTCCCCTCGAGACATGGGACTCTGCTTTCTCAGTCTCAACTGTGGGAACCAGGAAAGGGTAAAAGCCATGAGGTTTGCACATCCTACCTATTTGATGTTCTGACCTCCATGTTTATGCTTTCATGTTTCTTTGGTTTAGAGCAAAGGATTTCAGTAAGGTCAGAAATTTAAGGACAGGAAGGCTCAAATAAGACCATCTGCAGAAAATAGATATTTTTAGGTTCTTAAGTCAAGCCACTGTCAGTGCTAAATAAATTTCAGGAGTTCCTATCCAAAATATATTGCATCTTTTAAGTCAAGCTCAAATACCACCTCTTTCTTGGAGCTCTTACTCAAAATTAATTGGCCTTCCTGACGTTCCTACAGCTCACTATAGAACTTCCATTTCAAATTCAGTTCATTCATTGTATCTGACTCCCCCACAAGGCTATAAACTCCTAAAATTGCTTTTTATTATGCTGCATGCCTGCATCACCTTGTCCAGTCGCTGACATACACTTGCTTGTCAGTAAATTTTAATGAATGAAAAAAGACAAAGGAAAAACAAAATATTTTGTATCGTTAACGGTTTTTATTTTAGGACAAAGTTGTATACATACCTAAAAAGGCAGATATATAAGAAATTCTGAAATAAGAACTATATAATGGCCACTAAATGAAATACGAGATAT